TACATAATTTTAGTTAATTAATTAAATTTAAATTAATTTTTATATAAATTAATTATAAAAAATATATTTAAATTAATTTTTATATAAATTAATTTAAAAAAATATATATTTATTACATTTTTAATTTATATATTTAAAAACCCTTTCTTTTTTCAGAAAAATTTGTTACTGCTGTTTTTGTACATGAGATATATGAACTGTTCTTAGTGCTAAAAAACCAACAAAAGTTGGAAAAGAAACAGAAATCATCAAAACTTTTTTGGGAGATGAACTAATCTTTCCACTCAGCTAACATTTTATAAAAATAATCCTTTCCCCCCCAAAGTTTCTCTCAATTGGTTAAAAGCTTTTAGTTTAAGTTTTAAATTAGGTATTGCAGGTTTAGATTTTAAGTTGAGTATAAAGTAATATGGAAGAAACCGGAAAAGCGAGAATTATAGTTTCTTATATATAGTGCATAATCATGCTAGCCCAATCTTCATCAATCGGATTGAGGACAGACTTCTTCTCGACCATAATGCTGCGCACAAAAGGAAATGACTCCATAGTCCATACACTAACCGTTTGGATGTAGTGGCCGCATGCATTGTCAAATGGCATTTATCATTAAATAATTAATATTTTGTATTACCAATGACTTGTTAATCCGAGTAAAAAAAATTTAATTTTTTTAAAATAAAATTTTGAGTTCGAATCTTATAAATAACGACGCTACTCAATTTCGAATTAATCAAAATCCAACGTGATTACTAGATACTGAAAGATTAATAACAAAAATAATTAATATTTTATATTCTAAACTATATTGAATTGCAAAACATATTTTTTGGATCAAAAATATGTTTTTCTATTCTATTTACCTTTTGTTTCAATTGAATAATAAACTGGTAAATCTTCGGCGTCATACAAGTGAATACATGACTACGACAATAACAGCGGCAAAAGTGCAGTCTCTTGAGTTAATTTATGAACTTTGTTATCAGTTACAACTGGACTGTTACAGCCAAATTCTCACATAAACCATGAACTCCGATGCATAAGTGATAAGACATTGTATGAGCGACAAGGCAAGGATAGCACACGTAAAATTCACTGAGAGTTTTAGATTTGATATCGAAATACAGTCTAGGCACCTACGTTAGAGGCTAAAGGGTAGGAGAAGTGATTAATCTCCACTGGCACAGCCTCGGCAACCACAGTGGACACACTCGATAACCTTCTCCTCCCTCAGGTGCTTGGGCACTCGGCACACACAAGTAGTGGCAAAGTTGTGATCTCGTGGCTGGATGCATCTTAAGCAACAAAGACGTTCATAACCCGACTGTTACATTAAAAAGAAATGGTACAGATCAATCATGGGGAGAAGCAAAAATTACAATGTCTTAAAACGTCTAATTGATACTGTCACTGTGAATAAAGACGCCCAAAATAAAGATATGATCAAAATATCTCTTATAAAAATTTGCCTGATTCCTCAACTTCAACAACTGAACAACATTTTGAATTTCAACATTCATCAGGATTTAATTATATTCTTTGAATTGGCAAATCTGGTTAAATTAAGTTTATTGGTCGCATGCATGACAAAATCCACACTAGACAGAACTTGAGACTTGGAAGATAAATACAAGGACGAGAGAAAGACCTTTTTCCATTTTGCTATGAGATTTCGGTCAGCATAGCCTTGGTCCAGACAGAACTCATACAATTCCTTAGATATTTCCTTCCTCCTGTGGTAAAGGTCAAAAATATAGCGACTCTTCTGATGTGCTATTTTGAAAATAGGCCACAATGCCTCACATTTCCTCTTACCATCATGTGGATCATTCTCAGCTGCACACCCCAAAAATTAAGCATTTATTAGTTCAAACGTGCAAGATGAAAAGCAAAGATTCAACGAAGTAAAGCATGCTCATGGTGAAAAAACTAACCTTCTCTCATCTTTGCTTGTAGTTCAAGAAGGGTAGGCTCAATCAATCCCCATCCCTCTGGATACTTTACGCGGTTTGTCTTTACCTTTGGCATATTCTTTCACCTGCCATTTAAGTTATACAAAAATATAGGGATTCAGCAAATCAATTGAAACCCTATGTCCTATCAATTCCTTCACTACCTTCAAAAAGATATTCTTTGAAGAGGTTATTTATTAGACGGGTATCCTGAGAACCAAAAAGGACTAGCAGATGGTTTCCTAAATCTAGATAACCTGGACAACAATCAAAGCCTACCACAATACTCTCAGAGCTCTAAAGGCCCAGAAATCACAAACCTTTCTTTCTTTTTTTTTTTGGTACATATGATGATGGGCTATACAACAAGAGGGTATAGCTCTCCCCTTTTCCCAAATCCCTTTCCACCTGACCCAAGGATCAAACCCAAGATCTCTAACATTGAATCTCAAGCTCTTAACCAGCTGAGCCACTCCTTTGAGGGAAAATCACAAACCAAATGATTTCAAGCAAACAAGTCCTAAATTACTGGAAGGCATACTACCAGGAGAGAGGGCAGATAAGTATTTTAGAAACAATGTCAACAAGGGAGCACGGATGGGACGCAGCTACCGTTCCCACAACCATCCCCCACCCACACCGAAATTTTTCAAGATTTTTTTTTTTTTTTGAACTTTCTCCGCAGAAAATAATCAAATCACAGCCCCTTTAACAGTTATAAGCTATAAAGAAAAGAACGATTAGCTGACAAAGTTGATGGTACAATTCCAACAAACCGGTTGTTCCCCAAGTTAAACATATTAACAAGACACTTGCTGAATATTAAATGGCTTGCAAACTATATACAGCCAGAATGCATTGAGTACCGAAACAGACATAGCAATGATTGAGAGGAAATATAAATGCTTACATAATAAAGTTGTTTGAATTTGAAATGAATCTTTACTTAGATACAATATGCATTGCAATAGAAACAGCAACACAAACTGAATTTTCAGGCGATAAAAACTAGGTAGGATTGCATTTTGTACTCTACAAGCAGCTTAAACTTCCAGAGAGAAGGAGATAAGAACTAACAAAATCCAAGTCCGAAATAAACCCTAGGAAAAAAAAAAATCAGCAAAATAGAGGAAAAGAAAAATTTTTTTTTTAAAAGAACATGAATAGGTATTCCGGAGGGCTAACCTGAACCGTACTCTAACTGAATGGTAAATCTTGAAGGGATGGGAAGTAGATATTGAAGTAGACGAAGAGAGGATTTTCAAAAATTTGAAGTAGATATGGTAGGGCTAGGGATTTCGGGTAATTTGATGAGAATTATATTTTGCAGAATAAACTGGAGAGAGAAAGAGGTCGCTGAATATCATTTGGGCTTTTTCTGTCAACCCAATACGTTATGTGGACATAAGCTAAAGCCGAACCTCACGTTCAGAGGGTGTTTGGTTGGGAGGAACTAGGGGTGAGTCTTTTTTTAGTACAGATTGAGTATAGATTGTATTTATTATTTAATTTGAAAATTTGTAAGTATAATTTTTTATATTATTTTTTATATAATTTTTATATATCATTAAATAAAAAAATGTATTCAATATTTAGATTTCACATAAATTAAAAAAATCAATAAATGACATGTCAGGCTGTATAAAAAAATGAGATAAAAAAGTTGTACAAAAATCATTTCTCAACTTTTAAGATTTGATATTTACTTAAACATTCAAAAATCTATATTTAATACCTAATCTAACAAGTATTTGATAATTTGTGAATATATATTTATATACTTGATTTAGAAAAAGAAAAGATTTTATACAACTTACTATTGTTTTCGTGTTGTCATGTATTTGACTTAAAATTTGTTGTTTATACAAGTTACCATTAAAAGTTTGTTATTTATACAAGTTACTATTATTACAAAATGTTATTACAAAACTCAACTTTTTATGCAACATTTTTTAATTTTTTATATAATATTGTTTTAACTACTTTTTAAATAAAAACTTTCTTAATAAATTCACCAAACAAGCTATACTTAACAATTATAAGACTTAGAGCCCTATTTAGTGTGACTTGTGAGAGCTTTTGCCTTTTGAGTACTGTTATGAGTGATAAATTTAAATTTTTATTAGAGGGAAAATAGAGTTTTAACTTTTAGAAATGTGAAAAAGTGAGTAAAAAGTAAGTAAAAATGGAGTTTATGAAAAGTAAGTAAAAATGAAGTTTATGAAAAATTTGGATTTCAAACTTTTAAACTTTTACTGTTTAAGAGCTTTTTAAAGTTAAAAAAATATTTTAAAGTGTAAGTTTTTAAAAAGAAAATTTAAATGTAAAAGACATAAATAGTATTCGAAAGCTGAAATTCCTAGGAGCTGATCCAAACAGTCCCTTACTTAAGAACGTTTTTTAATTACTTTTTTAAACACATTTTTATGTTAATTTTTTACTAAATACAACAATAATAACGTACTAATAAAATGTCAATAAAAACCTCATTACAAAATTTCAATAATAGTAAACTTTTTCGATAGTTTCTAACTTTTCATGCACAACCTTTTTTTATAAATTTTATTAGTAAATACTTTTCGGAAAAAAGCTTGCTTTTAAACCACTTCACAAAGCAGAGCTTTATTTCAATCATCCATGGCAAAGGAGCTTCATGCAAAGCAGTCAATATTTGAAAGTACCAATACCATTTGGACTTTTTGACTCTTTATGTTTGACATCAAAACCTACTCATCAAAGTAGATCCAAGCAGCTATGGACGAAAAACAATATACGTGAGAAATTATTGACAGGATATATAATGGTCTGTAGTAATTTAGGTGCAAATTTCAGTAGCATAGACCCAATGATCACCCAAATATCCTTAGCTTGTCAAGTGATTTCAAGAGTTAACAACATATCCATTCAAGAAATGAAAGAAGAATGAAAAATCAAATCCAACACTGTTGAACAAATGTCTCATCCACCAACTATATAATAAAAACAAATGAGCAAAATTTTAGAATCTAAGTGGAAGCCTGAGTTGAGAAGAGAATAATATTTCCGAGAAAGCAACAGCTCCTTTAGTCAAAAAGACTGAAGCCCATGTCCTGCAATTGATTTAACGAGAGAAGATGATTAGAATAACTATCAGCTAAGATTATGGTAACAATTGCAATACCATGGTAGGTCGCAGCCATAAACAACCCTTCATGTATAGTACAGGTAAATCTTAAAAGTTATCAAGCCTATCAAAAATGAGTGAACACGGATGATTTGGTATAACCGTGCAGATGTATGTTAAGGGTGAAGTAAGACATGCAGTGCATCTAAAATAAGGGCTTCAAAGGAACGCTTACATCATCAGACTCCTCTTTCTCTTCCACTTTCTCTTCTTTCTTTGTCTCAGCTGCAGCTGGAGCAGCAGCACCTCCAGCACTGGCAGGTGCAGCAGCTGCAACTGCAACACCGCCACCACCACCACCACAAGGCACCGAGGCCAGCTTCTCCCTCCCAGCAGCAACAAGCTCTGTTATATCCTTGCCCTTGACTTCAGATATGAAGAGTTCTATCCTATCATCGTCAGCCTCAGCCCCAACTGTAAAACCAATACAATCTTAATTCCTTATGCAGTAACTTAACCAGATACTCCTCTTTTATCTCAAAAATTAAATGAAGCTACAATGCACCAATGACCAATTTTCTTATTCTAGGAGATTTGAGAAGTTAAATGGAAATTTCAAATTATCAGAGGCATCACAGTAGATCAATCTTGTATGTAGGATTGTAGGTCACTACAAAATTCAACACATAAGAACATAAAGCTTACATCTTGATTCAATTAAAAGCACATGAAAACACCATATATAGAAAAGAAAAAAGGACCCCAACAAGTTACAGACAAAAATCAACATAGAATGCTCATTGATGCAAATACCATGAATTCTAAGAATTAAAAGAGTAGAAGAGGAGAAACCAAACTATTCTCAATCAAGCAAACAACATGAACTCGAAGCAAATGTAAGATTTCAAAGTAATGAGAGGCTATGAGAGAGCATACCCGAACCAAGGATGTCCTTAATATCATCAGCACAAGGGGCGGCGTTGCCTCCCAAGACAGCCAACAAATATGCAGCGACCACCTTCATGTTTCTTACTGCAACTTAACCTGAAACCCAGAAACACCCATGTCAATACCCTTTCGAATAATCCTCAGAAACGATCTGAATGTAAAACTGGAGAGTGGAGACAGCAGAGATTACCGCAACGGATCTGGTGGGAACGGTATGCACGCGGGAGGCACGAAGAAGGCGTTTATATATAGCTAGGGTTTAGACGGGAGCTGCGGACTGTTTATTCGGCCCACGTTCTTGCTTTGATGGGCTTTGCTTGCATCCTTTAAGGCCTGTTTTTTACGTTTCTTGGTCTTTTGTTTTTAA